TTGGAGTTGCTTTTATCTTATAAGTTATTAACTGTGTTAATACTGAGAGCATTTGTGGTTTTTTAAAAATAAGCATATAAAAAAGTAGCAAATAACCAAAAGCATAAATTATATTACTTTAATGAAGGCTTAATTTAATATATCCAAATGCATGAATGGTAGTTTATCCGAACGCATCTCGGCTCTCTCCTTGAAACTATGGCTTCTGCTGCAGCCTCTTTTGTGGTTCATTCCACAGCAGGCGCTGTCCCAGTGAAAAATGAGAAGGGTGAACTATATATGCAGAAAGTTAAAGTTCACCGATATGTTGCCGGCAAAAGACCCGAATTCGCCGGGAATGTCACGCCAGAATCAATGTCAGAGGAGGAACAAGAAGACAAACCATCCGATAGATTTCCTGTTAAATCAAATTTAATTCGCTCTAAAGACTCAGAACAAAAAGAAAAGCCAGAGTTTTTGAATGATTCTACTTATACTCCCGATGAGTTGGCTGACCCTCGGGTCTTAAGACTGATTAAAAAAAAAGTTTGTTTTTCAATACCCTTCCTACATTTAAATAGCGAGAGTTTGACATAGCCGACTCGTCAAGCGACGAAGATGAACTCGATAGAGTTGCAAGACACAAACGTGATAGAGGGCTTGCGGATGAAAGTGATGCTAGTGATAAACGCTCTGACGATGAAGATCTTAATCAGGAAATGGACGAAGGTGAAATTGAGAAAAGGCGTGAGGTAATTAAGTTTCAATTACAATACCCTCAGTTTCTCTGAACACTTCTTTTTTCTGATTCACCTAAGGTGCTATTCGAATCAAATTATAAAATTAGACTTATAGTAGATATGAAGACCAAAATGGTATAGCCTTATATTCGGTCGCAATTTACTTTTCTTATGCTTTGAAGCATTCAAGGTTCTTTTTCGGCAATACCGCATTAAGATTCTATAACTTTAAAATGTATCAAATATCTATCTTTTTATAGCTCATCCGTATTCGGGCCTCCGAGGCCAGATCAAGACAGGAAGAGTCCTTGCTTGATGAAGCTCCAATTGGAGACGGAGAAGAAGAACTTCTTGGCATTTCAGATGAAGAAGAGGAAGAGGAAGACGAGTACACTTCTTCCGAAGATGAAATGGCACCTAAACTAAAGCCGGTATTTGTTCGCAAGCGTGACAGGATAACGCTTAAAGAAAAGCAAAAGGCGGATCAGATAACGCATGAAGCAGAGCTCGAGGCCAAACGATTAGCTGATGAAAGGCGTAAGGATACGCTCAAGGTAGCATACATTTTACTTTAAATTCTTTATGGCTTGTGACATTTTATTG